TAGGGTTAAAGTTCTTGATTGGCCAGCACAGTCCCCTGACTTAAACCCAATAGAACACCTTTGGAATGAAATGGACCATCGTCTGAGGCAGCTTGAAATACCTGTTAGAACACAGGATCAGTTGTGGGATGCAATTCAAAAAATTTGGATTGAATTGGGGTCCGATGTATGCAAAAAGTTAGTTGATATTATGCCAACTCATATAAATGATGTAATAAAGGCTAATGGCGGCTATACGAAATGTTAGAAAATTATTTACCAAAGTTTTAATATAATTAGGTTAATATTTGTTTTTTTTATTTACATAAATATTTTAATAAAAAATCGATCAAAAGAAAAGGATCGCATAAATGATCAAAATCATGTATTTGAAATTTTTTTATCGCATTACTATAATACAATTGAATAGACTCGTTATGAATAGTCTAATAAATAATTTTGATACTGCTGCGCCTTTTTAATCATAAGATAATGCAATTTAAAATTTTGTATTCGGGTGATGCAAGACTTTTGAGCACCACTGTATGTATTCAACCAAGACCAAAAATTAATCCCTGTATTAAAGGAGAGGATACGTATAGTTCAGCACTTCTTAAACTTCATTTTATTAATGTGTAAATTGTCCAAGTTTATTAATGCCAAATATATAAGCATTAGATTACGAAAGAAAATTTTTAAAAAAATATTTTATTTTTAAATAATATATCTAATTAACAATAAAAATCTTTTTAAACAGTATGGCCGTTCTCTAAGCCTAATATCCAGAAAATAGGTACTGAATTTTTATTGGCTTTTATTGGGGTTATGTCCTAGCACGAAAATAATATTTAGCAACTTATAGGTAATCTAAAGTAAAAAAGGATAATGTGGCTTTAGATTTTTTAATATAGATTTAATATGAATGGCTGCTATAGTGCAAAGTATTGCAATTGCAGTGGCGTACATTTTTTCGCATTTCAATCTCCCTCAAATATATATAGTTAGATCTTCAATTTGATCCAATATCAAAAAAAAAAAAAAGGAAATCGTTATTTTTATTTTTTTCCCTCATTTTTTTATAATAATGACCGGTAATTAAAACATAATTAATTTGTCCTTCCACTCAACTAGAACGCTACTAATAAAAATGTCATAAAATATTAGAACTAAATAAGACTGACGAAGGATCTTCATAAAACGTTAAGATTAATATTTAATATGCGTAAAGTACAATTTGAATTTGGGCTGAAAAAAAATTTCTAAAGTATTAATATACGATTCAGTATCAAATGTCAAAGGTAATTATTTATATTTCTAAAATAAGCAGAAAGTTTCTAAACTGATTTAATATGTTTTTTAATATATATGATTTTTATATTTGATAATTTATAATTTACTATCAACTAAAATGATGATTTTTCAATAGAACGTAAGTTATTTGTCTTCTATTTATGTATAATCTTATTATAATATAATTCGTAAACTGTTTTATTTTATTTTATCATTAATATATAATTTATTGAACTTACCAAAATTTGATCGTATTTTAAAAATTTCGATAATATAGAAGGTACGTTATTTGTATTTTAAAATTAATTTATTTATTATTTAATAAGCTTATAAATAAATTAATACTTCTATAGGTCATAATCTATTGAATTTATTGTATAATTTATTATGTAAAATCATTAACTAAATTAAAGTTTAAATTTTTTTAGTTATAATATAGCTGGTACATAAATTATTGAATTTTTTGTATCATTTATTTATATATCTTTAATTAAAAAATTTTAAATTATCAAATAATTGATTATATAGAAAGTAAGTTATTTGAATTTATTGCATATTTTTTTATAAAAAAAATTTTAATTAAATTTTAAATTTTATATTATTTTATTATAATATAGATCGTAATATTTATTTATATTAAATTTTAACTTAAAATGGTTTAATAATTAATTATATTTTTCTTACTATCTTATTTATTTTGCAATTATAACATTATATTTTTTATAAAAAAAAGCATATAATTTAGCTGATCATTTGAGACAAAAAAATTTAGATTGGCATATTGCTATACTATCAGCCCAAATGGAGAATATATTATTGTATTTCATCATGGTAATTGTTTTTGTTTATTAATTATTATTTTTTTTATATAATTTAATCATTATATATATATTGTAGTAAAAATGAAGTATAAAATTATTAGATTTAATAAATATAAAAAAATTAAAGATACAAATCTATATGAAGATATTAATTTTTTTGAAGAAAATGAATCTCAATTTAAAGAAACTAATGACAAATTTGAAGAATATGATGTCAAATTTGAAGAAAATGATGATCAATTAAAAGAAATTTATCATAATAATAAATTTGAAGAAATTGATTATCAAAAATGGATAGTAGCAATATCAAATATGAAACAAAATTTTATTTTTGTTGCAATTTCTTGTATAATAGAATTTGACACGTTAGCTAAAAAAGATAATATAGATTCTATACACTCCAGGAATTATTATTAAAGTTAATAAAGAAAGCATTACTGAGGATGAAAAATACTTTGATTATGTTCATCATCAAAATCAACATACAAAGAAAAGACAACCATTTAAATATAATGCAGAACCATGGATAACTGATAATCATTTTGAAAAAATGTGTGTATATCTTAATCAAGAAGAATCGATGCAATTATATATCGGAAAATGTACTCTTCAAGTATGGCGTAAAATTGAGCAAAAAGAAAATTTATTTCTTGAATATTTTTGGGCTAATGAAGATTATGAAAATAGATATACTTTTCAAATATTTGAATTAAAAGTTTATAAAAATGGTTTTTTTCTTGAACTAAAGCAACATGAAAAACATGAAAATAAAATGATAGATAAAGTAGAAAATAAATTTCAAATAAAATGGTTTTATAATAGTTTTAAAGATCATGTTAATGTTGATTTAATGAGGCATGCTTGCAATGCTCTTGCATATCTAAATTATCAAAGAAATAAATTAATTGGATATGAGAATCAGCAAGGTAAATTTACAGTATATATTATATTTATTATTATTGTTTTATTTATAAACGAATGTTAATTTTTATATTTAAAAAAAAATAGTTTTTGAGGAAATTAAGTATAATATTTCCCGTATTATTTGGAGATTTGTTAGAAATTGTCCTGAAAATTGGAAATTATTGGACATTCACTATAACCTCATGGCAAAAATTATAATTAGTGGCTCAATTACTCTCATTAAATATATTTTATTTGGTGATAAAAAAATAAAACATAAATATTTGCATATACCAAGAATAAATCGATGGAATGATTCAGAAAAATCTGACGAGTCTAAAAAATTTGAATGTATAGTAAATTATAATTTGGAAAATACATATGATCAAATTAATTTTAGTAAACTAAGTGATTTACAAATTGCTATTAAATTGTGTAAACAAGGTAATTTTAATTTTTAAAAGTTAAACAAAAATATAATGTTTTTAATTTATATATATATATTTTTAGATTTTAATCGTAAAAGTAGAATTTTAGTTGTAACTTATTTACTTGAATATTATACAAAGAATGCAACTGAAAATCTTGGATGGTTAATTGCGATTTCAAAAGCATTACCAGATTTATATGCACATAAATTAGGTTTGTATAATCATTTGTTTAAGATTATTTGAATTATTACTTATTAATAAAATTATTTTAAATAGAATATTTTGCGAATGAATTATTTTATAAAAGATGCATAGAAGGTTTAGAAATATTAAATATTATTAAACATACAGAGTTTGTACCTAGAGAATATCTAATTACTTCAAATAAGTTTATAGCATTTAATCCCATTTCGAAATTTATTTTAACAATAGAGCCAAAATCCAATTTTAAAACTTTAGAAAATGATTTGAAATTGAGATTGGCAAAACTTTACTTAAAAATTTTTTCAAAAGATTATGAAAATTATTCTCCAACCATAAAATTAGTTCCTTTACATAATTTTACTGTTAATAGTATAACTCAAAAAACGTATAATAATGAAGGTTTTTTTATTATCAAACTATTGAAACTACTATTTGTTCCTTGTAGTTATTTTGTCAATAATTCAAATTCAGATAATGCAGAAAAATTTTCACAACTTAGTCCATTTGTTCAAATCATTAGATCAGAAAGTAATAATGATATATTTAACAACCCTGTAATGGAAGCTGTAATAAATTACAAATGGCGTCCAGCAAAAAATTATTTTCTTCAACTTTTTTTTGTGTATATTTTATTCTCAGCTTGTTTTGCGATCATTTGCAGAACTTATGTGTCGCATTTTGAAGCAACGGGATACCAGTGTAATTTTTTTTTATTTCTTCTGATTCTTTTCTATTATTTAGGATGCTATTTATTAGTTGTGGAATACAGACAATTGGAACATCATGGTTGGAGACGTTATTTTAACTTATTTAATTGTGCAGATTTAGTTTCACCTGTCATTGCGATAGTTGTAATGTCAGTTTAAGTTACTCCATCATTTAATACTAAAAACACATTTGCTAATGTTGAGACAACTCAGGAAATAACTATAGCAATTTCTTTTATGATGCTATTACTGTGGTTTGAATTTGTAATTTTTTTGCAAAAATTTGAATTAAAAAAATTTAAAAATAATTATTTTATATTTAAATAGATTTTGTATCTTCGGTTAATATCAGGTAAATATTGGAAATAAACATTTGTGATTATCTTCGTAATTTTAAATGTAATTAATCTTTAAAATGATTATTTTCTTTAAAACCAGCAAAATATATTTATATTATGTTAAACATTATTAAAGAAACTTGGTTGTTTCTTACTTTTATGATTCTTGTGATGGCAGGATTAGCACATAGTTTTTTACTATTATTACAATATCCTAACTTTACAAATCTTAAAGAAATATCATCAAAATCTACTTTATTTACTGTTGATTCAACTAACAAAATTCAAAATGATTTTGATCGAACTGAAGATAATCCAGCTAAAAATTTCATTATCTCATTTCTTTCAACATATAACTGGTTAAACAGTGTCTTTTTGCAACAGGATGCTTGGGATTTTTGGGCAGTTTTATCACATTCTTTGATAGTATTTTATTAGTAACCATTTTACAAAATATGTTTATTGCTTTTATGGGGTAGGTATCAATTTATTTTTTACCTTCAAGTTTTTTTCAATTATAATTATTATTAAAAAAATAATGAAAATATATTTATTAGGGGTGTGTATTCCAAAGCATATGAATAAGGTTGTGTTGCCTTATTACGATTTCGTGCAGAATCAATTTCGGATTATGAGGCATTGGATGAAATTTATTTCTACCTCCGTCAGCAGAACCAAAATATATTTATTATATAGGTAAATCAAAAAGTTATGAGGATTGGGATGTGAATGTTAGAAAAACTGAGAAGAAAAACTTATATGATGATTATGAAGAAAATTTTCATACAAGAAAATAGATGATGATATATTTATGTTTAATAAAGAAGATGGTTATAAATTACCCTATGATGATAACAGTTCTGAGAGTGAAGAGGAAAATGAAGAAGACATGTGTATCAAAGTTAATCAACTTAATAATAAGGTTACTGAACTGAACAAAAAGATAGATGATGTTAATAACAAGATTGATAAATTATTAATCAAAGTCACATAAATTTAGGAATCTCAAATTTTTTGTATTATTTATATATCTTTTTGGTAAGTTGAATCTTACTGACGAAATTTCATTTTTTTTGTTATTTTTTCTTTAAATTTATATTTACATAAATATAATTAAATAGCGTAGTGCTTAAATTTATATTTATTTGTTCATAATTAATATAAAATCTAGAGTATAATAAACTTTTTTTTTGAAATTTTTTCAGTGTTTATTTTAAATTTTAAATGATATTGGGTATTTAAAAATTCTATCATAAGTTGTTTATATTTATGAATGTTGCAAGTAAACCATTTTTATGTATGTCACAAACAAATAATATAGAAATAATTATATAAATATGCTTCATAAGATCATTAAGTATTAGGGTTGCAATATCTTGTGCATCACAAAATGTAATGTCTAAAACAAATTCCTAAAGGATAGTCGGAATATAGGTTTTATAACACAATAAAAACTAAATTAAATTTAAAATTATAATTATTTGATAAAAATATAGTTGGTAAGCGTTTATTTATTTGAACTATTGTACCATTTATTTATATAAATCATTTAATTACTTTATATTTTAAAAACAATGTAAACTTAAATTAAATTAAAGATCTACATAAATATAAATAACCCAATATTTTATTTTTTTTTTATTTTTTTATTTTTTTTATTCTAAATTTTTACAATAATAAATTTTTTCATAATATCATTACCATCATTATTATCTTCAAATACAATTTCAAATTTATAAGAACAAATTAAACTTTATCAACAAAAGTTAGCACAATTAGAAAATACTTTTGCTTCAGCAACTCTAACTCCAACTCCAGCTCTTATAGTTTCAACTTCAACTCCAATTGAAAATATGTTTAAACCAAAACAAAGATATATCAAGAGTAGCGATATTTTGAATTTATTTAAATTTTCAAAAGAAGAATATAATAA